AAGGGATAAACAGAGGAGCCATCTGGGTCTGATAGATCAGGCACTAACAGTATGAGCGGTGGGTTTTTCGTGTCAATAAAAGCCGAGGGGGTCTATAGGCATGTCTTCAGAACCGCTAGGCAGTGTAGGCACATGGGTCTCGGGTTGTTGAGCCGGTAAATCGGTATCCATAGCCCCTGACCCAGATGGCCCAGTCCCTCCGTGGGGAAAGTTGGCAGGCTGTGGGCGACTGGGAGCCGCCATGCACGGCATGTGTAGCCTTAACCACAGGCAAGCCAATCCCAATATCGACACTGCCAACACCATCCCCGTCGCCTGAAGCCCTAAGCTTCTCCCTTGAGGGGACCGGCCTCCTACGTACGTGAGGGTATGATGACCGGCTCTCCCGGTCACAGCACCCTTTAGATCGGTAGGAAATGACCTTGACTTCCGGCTCGTGCCATCGGTCAAGTCATTGCCGTCTTACCGGAGTAACTGTTTATGCAGCTTGTTAATTTTGATTTCGTTACGAATCTCCATGTCTCGCAGGGACTTATCCATCGACGCCTGGATGTCAGATTGAAAGGAAGCTAGTAATTCTATATTGCTGATAAATCAAGCTGACTTGAGGATGACTTTGACTTTGACCTTGATCGTGATTTGGAGTCTGATTTTATGGAAGATGAGGGAGAACCCGAATTACTTTTCTTAGGCTTCGAACATTCCGATGACAATGAGTTTTTGCGTTTTCTGGATTGTGATCAGGATTCATCCATAATAACCCAATCTCCCTCAGACATCTCTTGACATAAAAGGCAACGATCCGAAAGAGTGCAGGGAATGCCTTTAGAACAACCAGCACACAAAGAATGGGGGTCTATATCCTCCATGAACTTTTGACATTGGAGACACTTATTTTTAGAAATTATGCTGCAATCGGGAAAATGGCGGGAAAAAATAGTCCTATACAAGTGAAATTTTACAGCAATGAATGATATGAAATAGGAATGCGATTGTTGTATTGATTAATGCGATTCAACTGACCAATCTTCTGTAGCTTTGATGAAGAAAAGGAGACTTGTAATTGAAAATTTCTTCACTTCACTTCTATATGTCTTGAAGGTAGACCATACAGAAAAATTATGAAGGGCTTTCAAACAACAATGCTGTGACGTCAGGATCAGGGGAGATAATTCAGTAGTCAAAATCACACATACCAATAGGAATAGCTATGACTTAGTGTTTTAAAATTGCATTTAATTTTTCTGTCTGTATCTGTGTAACAGGAATAAAGGCTGCCGTAATCCAGAGGCATTGGTTACGTTATAATTAAGTAATATTGTGTCTCAATATGAGATTTTAAAAACTATTCACTGAAAATTTCAATTTTTCAACTTTTTACCCCAAAAGAGGACTTAGCATCATAATTCAAGGGGAGGGGAGGGAGAGGCCTTTAGTACTCCTTAGTTATAACTTAAACATGGTGAAAACTCTAAAATAATTTCTGTACCAAACATTTTGAGGTTTTGTCACATTTTGACTGGACTATTAGCTGGATAGGTTCCTGGAAAAAAACATAAGTTTATTTCAAATGGGTTTATGTGCTTATGCATAACGTTATACGCACAACATTAAAAATGACACGCAATAAATGTCAAAAATGGATTTTCTTCTATGACGTCAAATGACGCTATGCTTAACACTAGGTCAATGTAACTCAGATCAAATGGAGAGAATTTGTTGTGGATACGGACGCTATATTTTATTCACGATAAACCAAACTATTCCAATTCAAAGTTCCCCAATGTGAGCAGATACATTTTGGTAGTTTCATTGTTTATAAGAAAAGATGACAATGTACTACATGAGAAAGCACGTAATAGCTATTTGGATGGCCCTATCTGACATATAAGTTAGTACTTAGATTTCCATATTCTCCTGTTTGTGTAGATGTATTTTGACTAATGTTGCATCATTATTAACAAGGTACTAGCCATATCTTCAAATGTAATGAAATTACTTAAAATAATACAACATTTTAGTTGACATCATTACTTGGTTTTTTGCATTTTGCTACGTCAGCAAATTAAGATATGCTGATATGCTGATTATATATCTCACCTAATTTCCATTAATTGTATAAAAGGTCTTGGCTTCTATGTCAGAATTTAACAGTCTTTAGACAAAACAAAATGAATGATTTTACCATTTTTATAGTGTCCTGAACACATCAACAATTAGATGGTATGGCTGCGTATCTTAGTGCGAGCAACACACGCACCTGTTTGGCATTAATTGAACGTAAATGAAAAATAAAAACACCTGAATATTTTTTAAGGATAAGAATTTTCTTTGTTTATGATTATGTAGCTATTTCTCTTCTTAAGTCAGCAATGAAAGATGCAAAAAGATAGCTTTTTTGTATGGAACTATTAGAATATGGATGTAAGGTTTGTCCAAATTAAGACATGGTTTGTATATTTTAAAACAATTTTCGTATAAATATTGTTAGAGTTTGACATCCTGTCATTGATTATATTATCGAAAACAATGATAGTGAATCATGAAACGTTTCTGAAAAACGCGCATCTGGCCAATCAATATACATCATTGTTTTGTCTATAAAATGACACAAACAAATTCAGTGAACAAGACAATTCCTTTAAATATGCATGCATATACATTTCATAAAATGTATGAATCATTTCCATTAATATTATCAGTTTTACTTGTACATGTTGCAGTTATGGCTACGTGGGATCTTCTAACACTTGTGTAAAGGTTTACAATATGGTGTACTACACTAAATGTGTCAATTTCTTATGTAAATATTATTCAAACAATCAAAAGCATTATAATCTAAACGTATACCCTATATTCACGTATAATATGATATTGAACAAAGCTAAATGTAGATACTGAAATTAGAAAGAATATCTGAACGATACACAAAATATACATCATAGTACTGAAAGTGTAATCAGAAGGATAGGGCGATTGTGTTTACTCTTGTTCAACCGACCTTCACTTCAAAGAAATTGCCTCATATGTACAACAATGTTGACGTATGACATCACTACCGATGACCGATTTCTTACAAAATGGCGGCTTCGCTGACAAGGGTACACAGGATTTTGCGAGGACTCTTCCCTTGATTCAGGGATCATTTGTACATAAATATGAGATGTAAGTAATCAGAATGACTCTGTAAGTTGGTATTGTTATATGTTTTTATCGTTTCCATTGTAATTAAGAGAAGAAGCCAGAAATGCTGATAATTACCATTGTCGTTCAGCGTGATTTGGCATCAGTCATGGCGTTACGCTGCACAGAAACTTTGACAATTTCTTATGAATTATCAAATCATTGCATTGTATCCAATTTTAAATTGCTATTTCTTGCTACGATACTCTTTCCATACATATTCTAAAGGCATTGAGCCATTGCAAGCAATGCACAAACGGCTGGATGTCGGAAAAATTTCAGAAAATGCTACGCAGTGTAAAATCAGAATTTTTCTTGGTTTACATTTCAAACAAGTGCAGTCTTTTGAGCACAGCATTCGTTTTCACACCCAATATCTTTCATTTCATTTCATCTAGACAGCTGGTATTGGTAGCAAAGACCAGTTGTACTTTGATTCTAAAATGTATGGGGAATTCAGTGATGCGTTTGTCGCAGCTGAATATGAAATATACGTGATGTAATAGGTGTCTCAATACCGGCCTTTGCGAAACGTGATTTTGTAAACACTATCCACTATGGCCGAAAGTGCACTTCGGCGTTCATGTAAGTGTATTTTCAAAAACATCCTAACCGATTCGAGGTTCATCGGCAAGGTTTCAGAATTATCATTAGCGATTTCATGTAAAACTGATAGTAGTGATCCTTAATATGCTATTTGTGAGATTTAATACTCCTGGTCATTATCCGATTTTCACATTTTAAAACATACAGCAAACAACGCTGTGAATCGCGATTTTGCATTGTGTAAAAAATGGCAACATTTACGATGAAGCATGTTTTGAAAGGTAATTTTAAGCACTTTAGCTTTGTCTGAGATAATAGTGGATGGTATCAAAGAAACTGGGAATTTCCCACAGAATTTAAAACTGTGAAGTGTGCGTGATATATTTAAAATTATATTGGACTTCAAAGTGAGGATTGAAGAGGAAGGACATATACAGTACAACCAGAAATTATTGAGAATTTAAAGATTGCAATTTTTTATTTTTTTTCACTCATTACTCACGTATTAAATGTGAATATTAGCAGAACAAAACTCCAGATTCAAAGACAGGTGAACAGTTAGTATTTTGTCAAGTCACCACGGGCAGCAATGCAGGCTTCAATGCGGCGGGGCATACTACTGATCAAAGAAGTTAGAAAGTCGTGGTCCATGCTGTCTCAATATCGGACTACCTCTTCTTACATTTCAGCCATATTTGTCAGATTTTTCTTATTGACACTTTACTTCATAAGTCCCCAAACATTTTCTATTGGATTTAGGTCAGGGCTATAGCTTGGCCAATCTAATAATGTCATATTTTGGGTCCGAAACCAGGCCTGTGAATGCTTTGAACGACAATTTTCTGGGCCTACCTGCGCCTCCCTGGTGCTCAGTGCTATATCCATTTGCAATATTTTTCAAAACACGATAAACAGTGGACAAAGGGATGCCTGTTCTACTTGAAATCACTTTAACTGATCTGATGTCCTTGTTATAATACTCTAAAATCAACTTCCTCTTCTCTAAATCATCCATAGAGAGGATCACTGAAAATGTCGTCTGCTAGTAAGTAAACAAAGGGGGATAACTCTTCACAAACTAATGAAAAAGGATTAACGGAGTTGTCTCTCTTGAATGAAACCAAGCACTTGATAGCTGGTCAAGGTTGTTTATACTAGAAATCCAATTAAATATATTCCTAAAATTCTCAATAATTTCTGGTCATACTATATATCCCTGTGGCACCCAGAGGATTAGCATCCATACAATATGAAACAAGCATGGTACATACTGGCCTTCTGGTTTGTCCTTGGACAACTTTAGTACAAGCTCCAGCATATTCTCTAATCCTTGTTTGCTGTTACATCCATCAAAATGACCAATACAGGAAGCCCTTGAGCCTGGAGACATAGTATAACATACATTCAAAACCAAACACATTGTCACAAAATAATCACTTCATACTAGTATTTCTTTTTCTTACTGACTTACTTAGAATGACAAGTAAGTTACTCAAAACTGCTTCAAACTCCAAAATATTTCTTGCCTCTATTAGTCACTTAAAATGAAACCAGTGTTATCATTGTGTATAATTACAAGAATACGACCTCTAACACATCACACAAAATAAATTTCACACTTTGGATGTTATGACACGAGAAAATTGTTTTTGTTGCCAAGTTTTGAGATAGTGAGTTAATTTTTACGCAGCACTCAGCAATATTCCAGCCATATGGCTTTGAGATCAATTCAGTTCTTAGGCTCATGTAACTGTGCATGCTTAAGGCAAGAATATGTCACTTCATTTCAGTAATCAACTGGATGCAGATATATTGGGTAGGTAGGATGGACTACCGTACTTTATGATGTAATAGAGGAAGTATTCTTAGATTATTACCCATATGGGAAGGAGGACATATGGTAGTATTTTTCCTGTAAGTCCCAAGGGAGGTTACACCTTTTGGTGAACATTGATTGGCTGCTTCAGAAAATAAACAATTTCATTGGTTAAAAACAATATGTCGGAACTTTTTCATTCATCTTTTCAGTTCATTCACTGTTTTACTCTGTTGTAAATTACTCAATAAACATTCAGTTTTGTTTATTTATGAATACATCACTGCAAAGTCTTGGAAATAGTTGCACAGTTTTTGAAAAATGAAAACAACACAATGTTGCAAAAGGTAAAACAATACGTCTGCTAGAAATCATGTCACATCACACCTGGTGAACAAACATGGCATCTTCCCCATCTCCAATAAAAGTAAATGACAAAGTGAAGGTTGATGGCAGCATATTGGGAAGAGTTGTAGATATTGTTCAACCACTGAAAACGTTCAATGTACATGTTGTGAGGACTGAACAAGGTGCAGTGAGATGCAAGTTCCCAGGTTTCGCATCCATGTTGTGCCTGACACTGTCCCGTCTCACCTCCAAATGAACTACTCAATGTATTTGTTGTGAGGACTAAACAAGGTGCGATGCAAGTTCCCAGGTTTCACATCTCACCTCCAAATAACTACTCACACACAAATTTGATGAAATATGTCTGTGTTCATGTTCCACATGTACTACCAGGTCAGGCGTATCCTCAATGAGATCAGCGCCCCGCTCCCACAGGACAAAGCATGGGACGCAGTAAACAACCCGTATGGTCGACGGGCCTACGAACGCGTTTGAAACGAATTCGAACTAGACCCGAAGACGGATTGGCGTTTGGCGGGCCCGAACCATGGGTTGGGTCTCCCCAACGTTCACAATATGCCCCTCTTGGAAGCCAGCGAAAAGATGAAAGAATGGGGTTACAAGTCGGATCATATCACAACAAACGAGTGGGATGACCGTTACATGGCTTTCGACAACAGCAAGGATTACCGAGTCTGGAGGTTCGAGCAGGGGCCCGCGGATGACTGGAAAAAGTTCATGCTGGACACGTCGAAAGGGTTTACTCTTGCCGGCATCGAACGCTTGAACGTCATGTCCAACGTCGAGGATGCAATCTCCGCCCCAGTCGATCTACTGGGTGCCATCTGACGATACCAAGACGTATTGGAATACGCCCGGTCTAAAGTCGACTACGTGTTCGACGTGGGACTGTACATGGCTCTGAGCGACATGCGACTGAGAATCAACAAAGTGGTGGGCTAAAACAACAAAATCATCGTAGCCACGGCAGACCAAAAGTTGGGGGTCAACCCCCGATGTCAACGTCCCCCACGTGTCACCCCCCACGACCGGTGAGACGGGTATAGTGGCGCCACACCCAGAGCCTAGGGTTCAACCCACACCCAAACACAGCCCCAACCCCCACACCTGCAGGCGTCCAATCAGCAGCACATAGACCGTAAAACAGTGCTGGTGGTCGGGGGGATCGCGGCCGGTTTGGGTCTCATTTGGTAAAAAAATTCCTTAGCTGCTACGTACACCAGGCCCGCCACGGCGACGACGGCTGCCCACAGGTTTTGGCCGAGCCACGTGACAGTTTTAGCCAGCGTGCTGAGCAGCCACGAGAAGATGCTACCCAGGATGCCGGGCAGGGCTTCGGCGGCCTTACCAGCGAGTTTAGCCAGGGCCTCCCCGAGGGATTTCAGATGTTTTTTTATCCAGTCTCTGACGTCACCAGAGGGTGTACCCCCACTTGGTGGGGTGGGTGTACCCCCCGTCAGAGACATGACCAGGGTTGATATGATGAAGCCCAATGCAGTCAGAATGCTGGCGATAGTAATCCCTTGCTCTCGGAAGAGGATTCGGATCCTGTTGGCCAACGTGGTGTCTTCATTCAGGACTCGATCGATGGTTTCCCGCACGCGGCTGATCTGGCATCGAAGCTGTTCCCGGTTCGAGGAAGCGGATTCCAACCGAGTCCGTCTCTCGTCTTGCAAGTTGCGCAATCGTTTTTCGATGATGGTTTTCAGAGACTCGTCTTCAGTTTTCCTTTCTCACGAGCATTGTGCTCATCGATTTCGTTCAGTTTCCCCATGTTGTTCACGAGTTCTCCGCGTACACGCTTCAAGGCTTCGTCTAGGCCGTACAGTTCCCTCAGGGGAAATTCGAGACCCGGGAAAGGCTTGTTCCAGTACGTGGCCAATATTTTTTCGAGACTGTCTGATGTTTCTTTAGCACGTTGGGGCATATCACCTTCACCGCTGAGTTCAACCCTGGCTGCTTGCAGATCTTGGACGACCTTCGGGGGAAGCTTAGGCTGTGCACCACCGTAATCTGTGAAGCCTAGTTCATCACGGATCAGTTGACTCCCACCAGGGCGACTGGTGAGTGTTGACAAAGCATACGGTCCTTTCGCGTCTTTTTTCATGATATCGACCCCCGGGTGAGCCCTCAATCGCACCGTGCCTTTCTTATCGATGGTAAACTTGATATAGTCTCGTCCCCACGGCTTGATGTTGTCTCTCTTTTCAACTGCGTCGTAATAATCGTCAACGGCCGGCTGTACAAGTTCAGTGCTTAAGGGGTTGTTCGTGAATGAGGTTTCCTCCTCCCTTTCCGAAGATCAAGAGAGCCTCTAGGCGTCAGACCAGAACTAAACGCTGCTGGTTAGATTCCCAAACCTGGGTGAGAATGACCTCATCGTACCAGGCACGGTTCGACTGACGTTCAACCTCACGTTGACCTCCGACAACAACAAACGCGAGCTCGTGCGGAACGTAGGTCGAGCCATAATCAAGATCAGCGGTAACGAGGTGCTGATCATTGACGACAGCGACGTGTTCACTGCTACGGGGACCTCTGGAAAAGCGAGGGAGAACGTCAATGACGTGTACCAAGCCATCAACAAATCGTTTTGGTTGCGTGTGGGGTATGGCTTCACGGCAGACCAGCTAGACAAGATCTCAGAGGGTGAAAAGGCCATCGCCCAAGCGTACGGGAACAGGTTCTGCGTGCCGCTCGACTTCAAGTTGCTCATGGGACACGCGCCGTTTTACCAGGCTGCATTGGGGGATAGGCTTGAATACGAGCTCACGTTTAACGACTACAGCAAAGTCGTGCGTACGCCGAACGGTGATGAAGCCAGTTATGCCATTGACAACATCTCTCTGGAGTTCAACATGGTCACTAGCCCGGAGCTGGCCAGGCAGGTTCGAAACCAGTACTCGGGGAAGGTGGCCATCCTGTACGACCGCATACTGAGGCATAGAGCGGTCGTGCGGGATAAGAGCAACATGCTGTGGAACATCAACCTAAACTTGCCGGCGCGATTGATGAAAGGTATCCTGATTGTCCCCGTGGAGGATTACGAGCCGTTCCCGAAGGGACAGCGGGAAGTTTTTAACCCCGCAATTGAAAAGGTGGAAGTGACCATCGAGGGCGTCCCCAACCAGCTGTTCAGTCATGGTATGAGGGCACACCAGCAGTGGGACGAGATAACGAAACTACCGACCCGGCACCAACACGTCATCAAGGACCTGGACCTATCCTCCGTGCAGATCGGTGAATACCTGACCACCAAGTACGCGCTATGGTTGGACATGCGATCCACGGACGATGATCAATTGCACGGCAGCGGTTGCCGCATCGACAACGGCAGCGAGGGGATAACAATCCAGATTACCAAGAAGGCTCAACCCGCGGGCAAGTTGAAATTATATCTGTAAGTTATTATGGACGCACAACTTAATATAGAGAATGGGAGATTCGTGCAAGCCATCTATTGATTTGCGTGGCGAGCCATCTATTGATCTACCCCGTGACCCGCACTACGCCATAGTGTGCAGGCAGACGGGCTGTGGGAAGACCGTTTTGGTGCTGGATATGCTGGAGGGGTACTACCGGGATGTGTTCAATAACATCGTTATCATGTGCCCTACTCTGCACATGAATAGAACTTACACGGAAAGACCTTGGTCGATGACGGACCCGGATGTACACAGAGCCTTCTCCGGCCAGCACGCAAAGCACAGTGTCTGGGTGCTGACGCAGAAGTTCAACTCGGTGTTGAAAGACCTCAGGGAGCAGACGCGATGGGTGGCCTTATTCCACTGCAAGGACAGGGATTCGTTCGAGGAGTGCTTGAGAGAGAACGATGTGATGAGCAAACTAGAACGAGTATGGGTGAAGAAACAGCTCGCTGAAACTAAGCATTCTAAGCTCGTGCTCAAGACCAACCAACCCGTAGCGTATAGGGTGTTTTACCTCAGCAATGCTTAGCAAATGCTTAGCAAAGCTTAGCAAATGCTTAGTAAAACTTAGCGTTTAGCAGTTATGACTTTTTTTTAAGTGTTCATCGTGTGCAACTTAACCTTCATTTCGCTATGTTTCACCTATATCGGGTATTATATTATTAAAACTAAAACTTGCTTATTACATTATAAGATGGAGTGTGATGAACAGCTCGAACAACTGTTGGTGCCGCAGGATCAGAGTGACGACAAGTGAGAGAGACTGG